CAATTCTTGAGCATGCTCAAAAATGCTCAAAAACGTCACAGAAAAAACGGGATATTTATGAACATGGGTTTTGTGTTTTCCTTCTAGTGGGAGAAAGTCGTGCCAATCGAAAGCAATTTTGATTTTCTTAGAAAATCGGATCCGAAAACTCGGTAATATTACGAAAGTCAAAATTGCTCTCGATTGGCACGAATTTCTCTCAACTAAAAAGAGAAGGTCACTAACATGTTCACTTGAATTTCCCATCCCTCTCGACGCAACACTGAAGTATTTCTTTATTTGCTTCTAATTTTCAGTCTTTTTTTGTTTTTGGAAAAGGCACTACAGTACAGAGCATAGCTTTTTCTATCGAAAAATACTTTCAGACTTCTAACTTTCAAACTTTTTTATGCCAATTCATGGCGAAAGTACTGTTGTTAAATGAACGAATTCCTTTCTTAGATGAATATAAACGCAAAGAGATCTATCGAGTCGAAAGGAAGTTATGATTTTTGAAAAACTGGCGAACGTACTTTTGGTCCCACCTAATTTGAATCTGAAAATTTTTGAAAATATCTCGATATTCACCAAGAGCTTGTAGATCACTTTGAAATTTCGGTGACCCATTCCCCTCCCCCCACCCTTTGTTTTGATATATTTCTATCTAATCACTTCTGTTTTATTTATATCCAGTGCATATTTTCTACAAAGTAATAGTTTCAGATTACTTGCATTATTATCAATCAAAGCACAAAAAGCAAAGTTCGACATACCTGAACAAGGGCGTTGTGCTTGGACGAAGTCCCTCCGTTGAGTCCTTTTCCAGCACTCTAGCAGCTTGGTGATGGTTGTTCACACACCTGCACTGATGCCTGAAAGAATACTTAGATTATGGATGAGTATAGGTTTACTTACGCCAGCATTGGAGAAAGAAAGAAAAAAAAAGAAAGATTAGAGGAGGAACAGAAGCGAAACAGAATGGAAGAAAAGAGTGCGCTATGCGCTGTTGATGTTGCGTTTGCTATTTCGCAATCGCGAATGCATGCGCTCTCAAAGTCCTGCGAAAATGCTGGCAGGTCAAAGTGCTGCGGAAACCTTACCAGCCTCATTGCACTTTCGCAGCGCTTTATGGAAAGTGCTGCGGAAGTTCCGGTTTACGATCGCTGTGACGTCAATTTCCTGCGGAAACCTCGCATTTTGGAGCGTGCACTTTCTCAATGGTTAAAAAAGTGCTGCGGAAACGCTGCAAGTTCTGCTTGTCCTGCGGAAGTTCCGGTAAATTGTCTGAGAAAGAGTGCTTTTTAGTCCATCATTTTTCACTGTGCGCGTCAAACAACTAAAAAAAATTCGCGCTTTTCAAGTATATAGTATTATACTATATAGTATATGGTATATAGTAAGAGTATTTTTCCCAAAGTCAGTGTATGAGATTTTTCTTTTTCAAAGTTCTCTACTAATGCAAAGCTGTAAATAGTCTATCCAAAATCCTAGCTTTTTATGCAGCTTAGGCTCTTCAAGTGTTAATTTTGCACAACCTCAGAATTGTAATAGCGAAAATTTGCTTAGGTAAGCAGCTAAAAGCATAAGCACCTTTGGTAGGTACCTCCAAGAATTTGAATCAGGAGCTTGCTAACAATAAGATGACCTGAAAATTGGGTCGAGTTTGGAGCACCTATGGATGAACTGCAAGGATGCTGGACTTGGAAGTCCTTATGAAACGCGAACGAGAGCCTTGACAGTAGAATTTCTTGAAGTGAAAGAGAAATTGTGACGCTTCCAAGAAAAATACTTTGTCAAGAAAAAGAAAGAGTGTCTGAGTTTGAAAATTTTGTAATTTTGTGTTGCTTAAATATTCTCAAACAGCTCAAATGTTCTTGCTAATTTTATATCGGAAAGAGATGAGTAGTCTAAGTAAGAACTTTTGGGGAAGTGGAAGTTCTAAGGGCGCTTAGGAAGAGCCTCAATGTAGAAAACAGGGGCCCAAGAGAAGTTGAGAGGAGGGAGACAAATCTTCAAAGGGCTGGAATAGCAAAACGCTATACTAAATTCGAGTGTTTTAAAGCAAAGGAAGGAGCAGTGCGGCTAGAAAAAGCTGGGAGGGAGCAGTCATAATAGGTTCGCTACAATTTTGAAAAGTTCCAACTTATAGTCACATCTCACTTCATACAATAGCCAGTCCAAAGTTCATTTATTGGTTAACAGTACTGTTAACCAATAAATGAAAACTGAAATTTTACTAAATGGACCTCCTTGTTTTTTTGTTCTCAAGCGGTGCAGCTCACGAGTGATTGTTGGGCAGAAAGGGGGCGGGGGCGTCAATGGCCTCTACCAGCAATTATACTCATTTGAGGGCAGTGAATCGGCAAAATGGACCCTTCACTTATTTTGGTGGGTTTAGGTAGTAGACATTCGGAGCACACTGTAGCCCAAGCCCTACCTGCCAATCTATGCGCTAAGTCCTGAAAAACACGCTTCAAATCTTCACCAATGATGCTCACCCAATGAAAGTGGGTGGGGCTGTTCGGCCATTTGCTACGTATTGTGGCCGAACCGACCTATACATTAATCATCCCGCAGTAAAGCGGGCGGGTTCGGGGGTCAACGGGGCTCTTCTGTTGTAAGCTTCCTCAATGTCACAATAAACGTTCATAGCGACGTGTTGTGTTATCTCCCAGGCCATTTGCTACGTATTATGGCCGAACCGACCTATACATTAATCATCCCGCAGTAAAGCGGGCGGGTTCGGGGGTCAACGGGGCTCTTCTGTTGTAAGCTTCCTCAGTGTCACAATAAACGTTCATAGCGACGTGTTGTGTTATCTCCCAGGCCATTTGCTACGTATTATGGCCGAACCGACCTATACATTAATCATCCCGCAGTAAAGCGGGCGGGTTCGGGGGTCAACGGGGCTCTTCTGTTGTAAGCTTCCTCAGTGTCACAATAAACGTTCATAGCGACGTGTTGTGTTATCTCCCAGGCCATTTGCTACGTATTATGGCCGAACCGACCTATACATTAATCATCCCGCAGTAAAGCGGGCGGGTTCGGGGGTCAACGGGGCTCTTCTGTTGTAAGCTTCCTCAGTGTCACAATAAACGTTCATAGCGACGTGTTGTGTTATCTCCCAGTTATAAGTTGCCTTATAGTGGCAAGAAAAGTCCATTAAACCGATCCACTGTCCTCAGACCTATGAGTACTGTTTGTTATGCGCAACTAAAATTACATGTAGAGGCTAAAGTAAGATATCATAAAGTGTATGTTTGTTTGTTTGTTTCTTCGTTTGTGTGAAGTCACCATTCCACGATAATAGCTATCTCGCACCTGCTCCACATACCTACCGTAGCAAAAATTAAGCAAATTTACCAGAAGCTGGCTAACTCCGTCCGTAGCCATGCTTGTTTCCAAACAATCTTTGAGTAGTAAAACCAAACATCAGCAAAATTGCACTCATAAACTGTTACATTTTCATGTGTAAAAGTTTTCAAATAGTTGTTTATTACTTAATCCAGACAAAGCGTAATTTTATAAAATTCTCATACTTCACGAAGGCGAATCTCATCATAGCAAAGCTGCACTTTGCAAAGCCTAGTTCGGCTTGATTATATCGTTTCAGATTTACAAGTGTTTCCTTGAGAGAGTGCCAGTCTTCCACAAGAAAGCCTTGGCTATTGATCGTAATCGTAATGTCAGATTATTTTACTGCTGTTAAGATTCAACCAAAGATAAGTTTGTGTTATTGTTATTTTACATTGGCTGCAGACTCATGTTTAAGACTATCGAAGAGTAAAGTCAAACGAGGTGTTATTCGCTAATTCATATATGCACTCGATTTGGTGAGCGAGACACGCATGAACTGAACAAGCAAGGTTGAACCTTAAAACCTCGTTGACATAATCAGAAAATAAAGACAAGAAGTAGAAGGTGCCACTTTAAACGGGTTCATTATTGACTTACAAACGGTAAATTGAACTGACCTCGTGACGCTTTTAAAATAAATTGTTTCTATCTCTAAGAGAAGCTCAGAACAATGTTTCGAATGAAATAACATTAAGTTTCCGATATTTCATACACTACGCCGCATTATAACTTATCATAGCCTTGAAACTAAATAGCTCCATAAAAGATGCAGTATGCCGCTAACTTAAATTGAATTAGAAAACGCATTATAGCAATTATATGGTCATCAGTATCAACCTGTAGTAAGATATTAGACTGGTAAGACAGTTCATTTTGTAATAGTAAATCCGAACACATATTCTGAGAAGTAAAAAGTCGCGCTTCACGGCATTGATCTAATCGTGGATCTCGTTGACTAGCTCTGGGGGTAAACTTCCAAGACACATTATGATTTGTTTTTGGTCTTGAAAGTTATCTTGAAAATCACCTTAAAACCTCGGTAGAAATGTGAAGTAAGAGTAGTGCAAGGTTACCTACTATGGCCATACCTTCGTAGGTAATCTTGCACAAAGTTGTAAAACAAAATTTTGAAAAGCTTGAAAAGCTACTGCGCTTCCTATTATTGCATTTTTTTCGCAAAAAAAGTGCGAAGCCAAGGATCACCTGACGTTGTGGAAACTTCATTTAGTTCTTAATAAAAACGAACTTTTTTGGTGTAAAAGTTGCTTTACCAGAGAAACGCAGTAATAAGGGGATTTTTTTGTAGAACGACGCACAAATTCTTTGTTTTCACGTTTTCAACATGGAAATGTGCCACAGTTGCAAGCTTGTTTTATAAAGTTAGACAAGGAAAGTTGCTGTTAAACTCTATCGGGAAAGTCCAATTTTTTGCGAACCATGCATCGTTATTTGTGTTCAGCATGACATAATTGACGTATTTTACTCGAACTACGCAAGACCTGCCAGCTAATAATATTCAGAGACCAACATCTACACTTTGATTTTGGGTGTCGCTAGTTTTTCAGCAACATTAGTCAGTAAAAAAATTATAACAGAGCACATCAGCATTTATTCCACGAGCTCACTCCCCTTTACTTCCTATCTTTCTGTTTCCTTGCGCATGTTCATACGGATTTTTTAGCCCGTGTCTTGCAAGACACTTTCCAATGCATCGGACATTCAGGTAGGGGTTCTTTGAAATAACCATAATGTCTTTTACAGAAGCCACTTCTTACACATACTGCCACGCACTGCAAAAGTAGCTGAAATACTCAACAAACCCATATCACACTCGTGCTCACCGCGGCTGCCGTTCTCTTTGCTTCTCTTACATTTTTACAACTTCCATCATCATCATTCCCTTTCCAACAGCAAAGCCAATCCAGGCATCCTGCAGCGCACAATTGCACCAGGATCAAGATGAGGAACGGTTGACTCAACATTGGCTCTGAAAGATAATTTGAAAAAACGTGGAAGCAAAATCTACGAAGCTTGCTCAGACTTAATTAACGCTTATTGTAGCGCAAACGTTGGAGATATCATGAGTACCTTTCTAACCTTCCAAAAATGGCTGGTAATTCCCATGATACTTCGCATAAATTTTAAAGACTTTCATGATGCTTTCCGGTCACCAAATTCACTACTTTTCTAGTTAACGCCGCTTTGTCTCCAGAAAATAAGGATCGATGACCAAGCTTTTACGTGTGGGATTCTAACCGAATAAAAATGGATTAACTCGAAGTGTCAATCTTTATTAGGTTGTCCGGAAATTCCCCCACAATGGTCGGTCTCCTCATCGTGGCGTGGGGGTGACAATGGGTGTCCAACTGCGATGCACAGCCGAGTGTTTACTCTGGCAGGGCCTCCCAAGCTATGAAGGAGTTCGACGTTTCCGGTCTGGCTGGAAGCCTAGCTAAGAACCGGCCACGCCGGATCCCCCGCCGTCTGGCTTCTTCTGGTTCTCCTCGCTCCAAGTCCGGGGTCAGCAATCGTCCCGTGGAAATCAAGAGTTGGCCTAGTAAGTCTGCTCTTGTAGGGGAACAAATTTTATTACTCAGACAGCAAGAAGATTTAGAAAAAAACCCTGTACATCGGATTCCGCCTACGGCGCCTGGTGGTAGCAAGAAGATGTCAGGGTCCTTAGGGCGCCTTTTGGATTGGACAAAATCGACACGTCTGACAGGACGACACGCCATGGAAACTGCCTCATGCCCTGCACCTACAACGCCAGGACAGTCTCCACAAACGCCGACCTCCACGCTCTTCTCGACGCTGCAGAGCACATCAAGTACCACATCATCGCTCTGCAGGAAACGAAGTCCAGGAAGAAGGACGTGCGACAGATGAGTGATGGGACCCTCATCATTCGTGGTGAAAAGGTTCTATCACGAAACGTGGGAGGCGTCGGCTTTGTTGTCCACCCATCTATCGTCCATCTTGTCGATTCGCACGAGATCCTGTCACTTCGACTAGGCATCCTACGACTACGACCTCCACATCAGAAGACCATCAGCATCATCAACTGCTATTCTCCAACATCAGCAGCTGACGAATCAGAACTAGATGCATTCTACGAAGATGTGGAGGAGGTCGTCCGCAGCGAGAAGTCCTTTTACAAGTTTGTTGTGGGCGACTTCAACGCGAAAATCGGGATGCCACTGATAACGTACAGGATCGGGAAGTTTGGATATGGGCTCCGGAAAAACGGCAACCGTCTTGTTGGGTTTCTCTCTGCCGCACGACTTTTCCATGGAAATTCCATCTTCATGAAGAAAGAACATTGCCGGTGGACATGGGAATAGCCCAATGGAACGACTCACGCGGAGATCGACCACATTCTCACCAACCGAAGGTGGAGCTTGCTCGATGTCTCAGTAGTTCCATCCTTCTGCAGTGGCTCCGATCACCGCCTCCTTCGAGCTAACGACTCAGCCGAAGGCTGGAAAAGAAGGTCTGTCACAGTGCCGCAAGAAGGAAGAATGTCGTTTATGACGGTAACAGGGTGGAGGAGCTCATATCAAGTTGTGACTGGCCCATAGAGGAGGAATCAACGTACGACCACGACGGCTTCTGAAAGAATTGCGAGCCTGCGGAGAATGCGCCTCAGTGACTTCCGTGAAGAACGTGGAACGCATTTCGAAGACCACCAAGGAAATGCTCGAAAGAAGAAGATCTGAGGCAGGATCCGAATGCAACCCATCTCAAGCGACTGATAGCCAACGCCAGTTGCAGAACAGCTTTGCAGGAGGATCTCAAGAAGTACAGGCAAGCCAAGATACTGGAAGCAGCCGAAGGAGGACGAAGTCTCAAGAAGTACCGAAGGGACCTCTGTGATTATCACGTACCGCTGACTGCACTACCAAACGAAGACGGGACTCCGACTTCTTCCCGATACAAGATGGAATCTATCGCGAAGAACTTTTATACCAACCTCTTCCGCTCATCAACACCCGTGCCAATGCCCGTTGTTTCCACTTTAGAAGTACCACCACGAATTCTACCTGCTAAAGTGCGCACAGCGATTCAGACCATGAAGACGTCCACGGCTCCAGGACCAGACCATCTTTCCGTCGAATTTCTGCGAGTTGGAGGACAACGTCTACACGAGATTCTCGCGTCGCACCTAACATCTTACCTTCAGAAGGAAAGGAGAACATCAAGAACCGTCCTTCTTTTCAAGAAAGGTGAACGGGAAGATCTTCGGAACTACCGTCCAATATGCCTGCTGAGTGTGCTGTACAAGCTTTTCACGAAGATTATCCTCGCTCGCATATCTAGGACACTGGATGAAGCCCATCCCCAAGAACAAGCTGGATTTTGCAAAGGATTCAGCTGCATGGACCACATCCAGACGGTTTAGAGGGTTATAGAAGTCTACCGAGAATACCGACTGCCTCTCGTCCTGACCTTTGTCGACTACGAGAAAGCCTTTGACAGCGTCGAAACCAACGCCATCCTGTCTGCGCTAGTCGATCAAGGAGTGGACCCAGCTTACGTGAGGACTTTAGCCGACTGTTACAAGGACTGTACAACGACGATGCAGCTGTTCATCGCCCCCTGACTATTCCAATTGGGAAGGGGTCCGACAAGGCGACACAATTTCGCCGAAGCTGTTCACGGCGGCCTTGCAGTGGGTGATGAAGTCACTGGATTGGGACGAGAGAGGCATACGAGTTGATGGGATATTCCTGTCGAAGTTTCGTTTTGCGGACGATATCGTTCTCTTTTCGAGCAGTATAACTGAAGCAGAGACGATGCTAAAGGAACTGAACGAAGTAGGGAAGAAGATCGGATTGCGAATCAATCGAAAGAAGACTTAGTTCATGAAGAACGCCCTTTGCGAAGATGCAGAAATGGAAATGGAAGGCAGCCCTTTCACGGAAACGTCTTCTTACGTGTATCTCGGACCTTCGATGAACATGGAGAACGACTTGAGGGAAGAACTTAACAGGAGAAGAAGAGCAGCCTGGGCCGCCTTCGGGCCTCTAAAGGAAGCCACCGACCAACTGACGGACCCGGAGCTTCGTGTCCACCTGTTCGACTCAACCGTTCTCCCGGCGCTCTGTTACGCAGCTGAGACTTGGGCTGACACCGAAGCCACTTGAAGGCTTTAAAGAGCACCCACAGAGCGCTAGAGTGTAGTCTTCTGAAGATGACCCGACACAAACAACAACTCGTCGGACTTCGCAGTACGGATCTGAGGAGAATGTCCCGTTTTCGTGACCCAGCGGATTACGTTGCGAAAGCGAAGCATCGATGGGCCGGTCACATTATGAGAAGAACAGACGACAGATGGACACTAAGAACATCGGAATGGATTCCTCGCGAAGCAAAACGTCCCCGAGGAAGACCTCCAACGAGATGGACAGACGTGTTCGTGGAACGGATGGACCAGCTGAGAAATCAGCTAGATACGTTTTTTGCACCTGGAACTCGCGGACGCAGCCACCGACGTCAGCCAAGAAGATCGTGGATGTCTGAAGCAAGGGACAGGGAGAAATGGAAACTTCTGAGCTGGGGCCCGCACGTCACGTGAAGCCGGGCCATCTAACAAGGAGAGGATACTTAGTCGAAAGCACCAATCCAAATGGGGCATATATCATCGTGACGTACTCGGAGCGCTGATTTCATACCTGGCAAAATCAGCTGCGGAGCGACTTTGGGCAACGAATTATGGCTGTTTTTGTGGAGAAAATTTGAAGTTGAGGGAAGAAGAAAATTATACGCAGAAGTCTCCAGTTAGGCTCGAATGGGGGTGTGATGTCTGTCAGATTACTCTGCGCAAATAAAAATGTCTCTCTGCTACATCAACACCTAAAACGAGTCTATCTGCGTGATATACATGTTGTAACAATTGATTTTATTCTCTTTACCCATTCAATTTTTGGCTCTTAAAACGGTCATAGCTTCTCACCCAGAGGCGCTCCGCAGATAAGGAGGACAGATTTGAAATCAGCGCTCCGAGCAGGTCACGACGATATATGTCTCAACTGGATTGGTGCTTTCGACTAAGTATCCTCTCCTTGTAAGTATCTAAGTATGTCGGAAATTAATGCTTACTTATGCGATCCCGGCAGCGTAGATATGAAAATGTGGGAAACATGCCGTTCGATAGAGCAAGATAAGCTCTACAAAACTGCGCTTGAATGATAGCAAAAAGTTTGATTGAAGAGAAGACTGAAACAAACAAAAAAGATTCAAAATCCCACGAATCAGATTTCCGTCCAGAATGATCTTGCGGTCTTCCAACTTGGTCACTCATGTTATTCCCTACATCAAACACTTATATGCACACTTACTGCATTTCTACATCGCTGAAAATTGAATTAAAAATGGCACAAAATGCCAAATGTATCGTCTTTTCGGGTTTTTATGCTAAAATTTTTTTTCGGAACTAGCCCTTGCAGGAAGCTGTAAATCCATGGTTGTACTTTGAAAGATTTTTAGTATACAAAACCTATGCCACAATAGCTTCTTACATTTGCTAAGGCATACCACCTTTCATTTTCCCAAATTCTGACTGACAAATCACCGCAACTGACAAACGATTGTTTGGGGACGAACATATGCCTGACCAAGTTGGAAGACCGCAGCATCATCCGGATAGAAATGTGATTTTTGGGTGTTTCAATTTTTTCTTCTGCATTTTGCTTTCAAACTTCACGTGGATCAAGCTTTTTGCTATCATTTCAAATGCAGTTTATAAAGCTCGCAAGGCCTTATCGAAACATTTGTTTTCCACATTTTTATATCAATACTTCCGCGATCTCGTATTTTGTAAAGAAGCTACATCAATTTCTGGACAACCTAAGAGCTCCCAGAGAAAATAGTATTGCGCTTGCAACAAGCATAGAGTATAACATCGTATATAGCTGAAATGAATTTTGAATTTTTGAGTTTTGAAGGAGGTAAGAATAAGCTAAAAAGGACAGTTTTGAGTAGCATATATTCATTGCTAGCGAAAGTCTAGAAACCTTTCAAACTTCTGATTCTGCAGAATCTTTTTTTAGTGGTGCGAACTGACGAGTGGGCTCGATCTTATGACAGAACTAAGAATATGCAATCAATTTATAATCAAAATTTTCCCGTTTCTCTTTACCCCCCTCCCCCCCTCCA